CTTTCTGTTTTTTTTCTTCCCGGAGTTCCTGTAAGAGAATGAGATGTATCGTGTATATATGATGTATGATGTTCGTGCGTGCATTAATTCGTTTGGTTGGTGAAGAAGAAGAGTTGAGACCTTCACGTCGTGAATGTGTGTGCATGAGAATTAGTCTTTTTGGCGATTAATTTTTTTAAGGTATGATACAAATTAAGGAGATTCGGTTATGTTAATTATTATTCGGGTTGTACACATCATTTGTTCATGAAGATTGACATATATAGGTAAGCGTGTATTAAATGAGACAATTAATTAATATACTGTTAAAAACATTCATTATTCTTCTGTTGTTATATAAAATTAAAGATCTGATGAAGAACATGGAAGGCACATTCTTCGAGCTCATTGAATACCAGAAGCCGGCTCTTTGACTTTTAAAAACATGACGAGTCCATTTTTTTTAAGAATCCATATATATATATATATATATATATATTAATCAAGAGAATGTAGTCCTATTGGTCTTGGATATCGTGAAGTATGGCAAAGATGGACCATGAAGTTGTCTACTTCGAACATAGAATATGTATGTATGTATGTATGTATGTATGTATGTATGTATGTATGTATGTATGTATGTATGTATGTATGTATGTATGTATGTATGTATGTATGTATGTATGTATGTATGTATGTATGTATGTATGTATGTATGTATGTATGTATGTATGCAAAGATACGCAATATCTTATTGTACAGTGAGGGAAATTAGTAAAATCACGTGGACCCACCACCAGATTGGATATAGAAAGAATTACAAACCCGGACGAAATATTAGCAAAACCATAAGAGATGCTAAAAAAAATCTGATCACTGTTGTGATACACACCAAATAAATGTATGCAAGAATAATTGATCCCTAGTTACCATGCAGTTGATTATTCAAAACTTGGATATTCAATTTATTTAAATTTAAAACTAGGTATTTTTTTTATTATTCGAGGGATCGAATTTCAAGTTTTGTATTCTCGTTTCCATGTACTCAAAGTATCTAATAAATTTTAAAAGTTGGAGATCTATTTTTTTTTAAAAAACTTCCGAGATCCAAAGTTTCATACGGCCTCGATCCGATATTTTTTTCTTATCTCTACCGTATTTCATTCCGTCAAGATTTGTGGAATAAAGCGTTGCTATATTATTGATAGCTGAATGAGTTTAAATATACAACATAGTTTCCTTTCAATAGAATTCGTAATTTGTATCATAATGGTAAAGATAGATAAATCCAATATAAATAGAAAACACACTAATATCTAAATTTGATCTATAGAAAATAAAACTCTTTATATTTTTCAATAGTAATTTTTTTTTGTCGTAGCTCGTCTTCAGTTTTGCATTTACTCTCACTTTTGTATTCATTTCCGTCAAATCGTTAGCTTTGCCTTCGTAATTTTGTATTTACCCTCAATTTCATATTTATTTCAAATATATAATTGATTGGTAGATATCTAAATATTTATCCAACCGTTTGTGGTCTAATAATAGATGAGCGGTGACAAAATCATTTTCAAACTCATGAGTTCGATTCCACTAATAGAGAGGATAAAACGCAATTAATTACGTGATTAAAGATTGATTTCGGGATTAGGGATTAAGTGGACCGAAAATCTAGTTATAAAAAAATATATATATCCAAATATTTAGATGTTACGAAGTATTCAAAATTTAGATACAAATCGATCATAGTGCAATAAAAATCCTAAGAATTGAATCATTCGAATTCGGATTAGATAACCTAAACTGTAGAATACATAGAGGGTCAAATATTTTTTGTTTCACCACAGGCAAGCGGAGTGCAAAGTGGTCAACGGTTGACCGGGGAAGTCACCTTGTTGGTCCAACAACAGACTTTGTGTTCTCCGAAGGAATTTAAAGACTCGCGAAGGAAATAGGTCATATTGATGTATTGCCAATTATACCCTTTTGTCGCAAAATCAGGAACCTCCCTAAAACCCTATATAAAGCTGTCGCCTTTATCACCTCTCTTTTGCTCCTCTCTTCCTCTATTGCACAAGGAGAAGAAGAACTCTCCGTCCCATCTTTCTCGGACAGGTTTAATTTTTCGACCCTTAATTTGACTCCCCGAACTCGAATTCGACTGAATTTCAAAAAATCAAATCTGGGTCAAATTGTTTCCGGGTTTTTTTTTTGTTTATCTAGGGTTTGTTTTCGATTTGGGTTTATAGGGTTTTGCTCTTTTCCATCTTCGCCTCACGTGCAGGTATGTCGGCGGAGGACGGTGATCATTCGGCCTCGGAGGTATCCGATGCCTTTGTGAAGCAGTACTTCCATATTCTCCAACACTTGCCGGAGGAAGCTCGCAGGTTTTATGTCACTGGCAGTGTCGTCAGCAGACCGGGTCCCGATGGATCAATGCTTTCCTTTACTTCCCTTGAGGTAATCCTCGAATTTCCAACTGTTGTTTTCTTGTTGAATCGTCTTCTTTCTCATCCAAATTGTCTGAATTGGTTGGTGGTCTGGTGTTGATGGCAGACTCGATGGTGTTTTCTGTTTCAATGCATGTAACTTGGGTTCGGTTTTAAAGAGAGGCCGTGAGGATTTTATGATGTAGGAACAGCCTTGCTCCTGTTCTGGCCTTAGATTGATGAAAATTTCACTGCGTTGTTTCTAAGTTTTCTCAGACCAGATCGATTGTCTACTGTTTTTTGTTCGTTGTAGATTTGTCTGCTTAGTTATTTGCTCTTTTGTTGTTGTAACCCGAGATTCAAAGCCGCGGAATTCGTTATGTTATCATCTTTATGCAGGCAATCAACGAGCAGATCCTTTCCTGCGACTATAAGGACGCTACCTTTGATGTGATCAGTGTAGATTCTCAGAATTCCTTTGAGAGTGGAATATTTATAATGGTTACCGGTTTCGTCACTGGGAAAGACAAACTCCGGAGGAAATTTTCTCAATCGTTCTATCTGGCACGTCAAAACAACGTCTACGTTGTCCTCAATGACATTCTGCGTTTTGTTGGTGATGAGGCCTCCGGTCCAGCTGCAGCTTTGTCTATTCCCGAACCCAGTAAGCTGTCTATGTCTATTAAACTCTGTTTTTTTGTTTCTTAACAGATCAAATGTATCCTTTTCCTAAATTTCTTGGAGCATTTTCGTGGGTTTATATTTGCAGAACAAGTGAATGAGATGGCAAAGCCAGCTGTTGAGGCAAATCAGACAGAGCCCGTTCAAGAAATCAATGTTTCTGTGGAAAACTCCAAGGATTTTGCAGGAGAAGTCACTCCTTTGGAAAATGGAACGATCGAAAAGGCTGATGGCAAAACTGAGAAACCAACAGAACCAATTGCTCCCAAAGCTCTGCCTGATGCCACCAAGAGATCTTTTGCCTCAATAGTGAGTTTCATTCTGTTCATCTTTGTGACGGTTTCTTGACAATGTCGGCATGTGTTCTATTTATACAGTATACTTACACTGCATGTGAGATACAGGTGCAATCAATGGCACAAAACACTGCTCCATATAAAGCTCCAGTCCAGAAGCCTAAACCCATGGGTCAGCCGCCCCGTGCTGCTGCTGCTGCAGCGCCTCAAGAGCATGGTTTGGTCTTAAACTCTGATAAAAAGGATGAACAAAAGATCATGGAAGAACCAGGTCAGAAGCCTATTGCTTTTAAAAAGTTTCATTTATGTTTCTTGCCTTTTTTTAGATATTTCAAACGGGTTACTTCAATCCCAAGAGAAAATGCATTTTTCAAGAAGTTCTTTGGATCATCGATTCCTCTTCTATCGTTTCCTAGTATTATAATAATGCCATCAACATAAACAAGGAGAACGCTAATTACCCGTCTGGTTGTTTGTTTCAGGTACATCGATATTTGTGGCAAACCTGCCAATGAGTGCAATGCCTGATGAACTCCATGGAATGTTCAAGAGTTTTGGTCCCATCAAAGAAAATGGAATTCAAGTTCGAAGCTCTAGGGTTTGTTCCACGTTCTCCTCCATCATCATCCTCTTCCCGAAAGGATCTTAATTCTTTTTCGTGTTTTGTTCGTCCAGGGCAGTGGAATCTGCTTCGGGTTTGTCGCTTTTGAATCCGCTACCTCTGTCCAAAGCGTGCTTCAGGTATTATTATGATTAAGTTCTCCTTTCTTGTCGGAAAGATTCTCACAAACCCTGATTCTGTGATTCCATCATTTCAATTCCCAGGCTTCCAAGACTTCTCCTTTCGTGCTCGGAGATCGAAAACTTCGTATTAAGGAGAAACAAGGCAAGTTTCTTTTTTCTTCTTGTGAGAAACTATGCAACGTTTTGGATTGTTTGGTTCAGATTCTTTGGTTTCATCTGCAGTTGACTACGATGGAAGCAAACCTTCTGGAAGAAACGGAGGTTTGAGCAAATCCCTGAACGGCTGGGACAACCGTA